GTTCCGCTGTACTATATTGCATAGGTATATCTTCATGTGTATTGGTGGTGTTTTATTTAGTAATCTTTCGAAATGTTTTTTAAATTCTTCTACTACAGATTCTTCTTTTGTYACTAACTCACCTAGTTCATTCCTTAGGATCCTAGTCTGTGGTTTATATCCCTGTTTAATGTTGGCAGTTTTGCTAAAGAATCTTCTGGAGTTATTTTTATTTTCTTCAATTTCCTCAATCTTTCTTTTTTCCGCTAATCTTTTTTCACATCTTAGTACTTTATTGGTTTCTTTTTTAGTATTTTTATATCTTTCCAAATTTATGTCACTTGGGTCCTTGATAGTTTTTTCTCGTATGCGGTTTCTTCTGTCTATTGCTTCCTTGCACTTATCATTAAACCATTCTTTTCTTTTTTCTTGTATTCTTATTCCTAGGCAATTATTAGCACTATTGACTACCGCCGTCTTGATTCTGTCCCATATCCGYTCTGCATCTTCATCTGCATTACTGTTGGATTTTTGTAATTCTTGTTGAGTTTTACAGATGTATTCCTCTAGAACCTTCTTTTCTGACAGTTTTTCTATATCGTATTTTACGRATTTTACATATTTTACCTTTTTCCATCTTTCAGATAGCCTAATTTTAAGTTTTGTAATTACCAGGTAATGATCCTAGTCGGCGTCTGCACCTCTATAGCTCCTGACACTCTTAATGCATCCTTTATGCTTATTTTGTATCATAATGTGTTTGTATCATCAATTTGGTTTTTTGTTATTCTATTAGGTGCTATTCAAGTTTGTTTGTATATATCTTTCCTTGGAAAGTATGTACTACTAAGGGTAAAACCGTTCGTTATACATAGGTTGATCAATCTGGTTCCAWTATCGTTACTTACGTCATGTAAGCTATTCGGTCCAATCGTTGGTCTATATATATCTTCTTTTCCTATTTTTGCATTAAAGTCACCTATTAATATTTTTATACAGCTATTTGGTATTGTGTCAAGTATGTGCCCTAGTTCATCGTAAAACTCATCCTTAATATTTTCTTCTTTCTCTTCAGTTGGTGCATATGCGTTTACGATAATGCTATCAAAAATGTGACCTGCGAGTCGGATATAGCATATTCGGTCATTTACTGCCGTGAATTCTTTTACTTGTGGTAGCGTATCATCGCTCACTACAAATCCCACACCATTTTCATGTCTTCCATCCTTTCTTCCGCTATAGAATATGGTTTTATCATCTTTTTTCATATTTCCGTCATTTGGCCATCTAATTTCTTGCAGAGCTAATATATTCGTATTATATTTTTACCAATTTTTATTCCATTTTCCAGTTCCGGTCGTTGTCCATTAATCAAATTCCGAGGCTTATTTTGTGGTTTCTTATCATACTTTTTTTCTGATGTAGGGTTGTTAACCCTACGATCAACCTGGAGGACCAGACTACTCCAACCAATTAAGGTCAGGGCAGGGCTATTGCAATGTACTAAGGTACATTGGGCRATGGGTGCGCTATTTTTCCTACGCCAAAATTGATATATACATATACATATATATAGATATATAACCCTACACTGCATACAAGGGCATATATGCATTAAAACATTAGATGGYTATGTACCTAAGGTATGTTCGATTAAAGCTAATGAAAACCTGGCGGTCATTTGCTTAAACCAGTTAAAAATTAGTTTTTCGTAAAATTTTAATGGTAGATGGCAGCACATATTTTTAATTTATTTTAAAAGTATTTTTTTTTGTATGTGCTAAACCATGCTCCATGGTCCAATGTTACACGGTTAAAAATAGTATCGGCTTATCAGAAAAATTATATTTAGCTATTATGACATATGGTAATTGAGGCATTTCATAAACAAACAATGTATTTCACGTCAACAATATATTATAGCCGCTAATATTTGACGTGCATATTTGCACTACTATGCAGTACTGGTCCTGACTGGCTAGTAGTATCAGCAACTTTGTTCCTTGTGACCATACTATTTTATATTTCTGTTGTATGTTTTTACAATACTTATGTAACAGTTGTGCAGTTTTTAATTTTTTTTTTTAATATGGCTCTTAACGACTACGAAATCGAAACTTTTTTAAATATACCAATCGAAAGTGAAGACGAGTATGCAGATGGTTTTGAGCTAAGTGACGATGAAGATATAAATGAGGTAAATAATAAATATACATTTTATATTGGACCGCACATTTTTGCAATCATAATTTTTATASGAAACTCTAACTCCTCGTGAAGACCGTGTTGTTGTGCGTGTTAGAGAAGAAGACAATGATGTTTTTACAATTCCAGAGTATTTTTTAGTTGAAAATGAAAATGTTTCCGATCAATCAACTTCTGGTTCTCCTGTACAAGTTCAGACTTCACCATTACCGCCGTCGTCGCAAAATGTAAATTTTGTACACACATCTACAAATACAATGYGCGTTCAACGTACAAGGATTACTCGCTGTGATAAAAATGCTGCTAAAAAACAGGTAAAAAATCCAATTTTACATACTAAGTCAAGAGTTGTTCGACCAACATGGATAAAAGGTAATTTTACACAAAATGAGTCGGTTATACAATTTAAAACTGAATTTCCAATGCCACATGAACTAAAAAAATTAGAAACGCCTAAAGATTTTTTTAATTATTTTTTTGACGACTGTTTATTATCAATAATAACTGAGCAAACAAAACTGTACAGCACGCAAGTTGACCCTTCAAAGCCATTTATCCTCTCAAAAACTGAATTACAAAGATTTCTTGGAATACTTATTATGATGTCCATTGACCATGTTCCAAACTCGAGATCATATTGGTCAGATAATTTAGCAAATATCCCTATAAAGAACTGCATGAGCGTAAATCATTTCGAAAGAATAAAAAGATTTCTACATTTCAATAATAACCATTTAGACCTCCCTCCAAGTCACGAAAACCGTGATAGACTGTTCAAAATCCGTCCGATTGTTGAATTACTAAAAGCAAAATTTTCTTCTGTGCCTTTTGACGAATTTCTAGCATTAGATGAACAGTTGTGCCCAACAAAGGCGCGTTCGTATATGAAGCAATATTTACCCCTTAAACCTCATAAATGGGGTTATAAATTATTTGTTCTCTGTGGAGTAAAAGGTTACGCCTACAATTTTGAAATTTATACGGGTAACGAAAACAATTCTGTAGAACGCCAGCAAATGCTTGAACCTGACTTAGGTGCAACAGGTAATGTCGTAGTTAGACTTTYGAGAGTGATACCGAGAAATGAACACAATAAATTATACTTCGACAATTATTACAAGTCAATTCCAGTTATGGTGTATTTAGAAA